ATCTTGCGATTCACTAGTGTCACTGAAGTCTGTCCCCTCTGATGTCCAGTCTGAATCAATAGATTCAGAGCGCACGCGTTTTCGTGGGCTAGATTCTGAAGTAGTCGTTGAAGTGGGCGGAGAAAAGCAGACTGAGTTTGTTGACGGCGGTGGAAGAGGTGAGGTCCACCCAAATATTTCAACGTCATCGACAGTCGTGGAATTTCTTGTTAATTCATTTTCCGGCGACCTCGAGACATGAAGACATTCACGACCTGAATTCAAAGAATGTTAATTGTATAACAATTGCCATATACAACAATAGGCAATAACAATAAAATGAGGAACGATTAATTATACTGGAAAATCTAACACAAATATAAACAATGAATTTATTCTTGATAATATTCGTGTGGGACCAACACAGCAGTAAACCTTTTCATTTAAAAAAGAATAAAACACATTTAAAATAATAAATAGAACGGTGTTTTAACTAGCATAGGTTTTGAGATTTTATATAAAGAAACTTCCAAAAACAACAACAGTTACAACTTAAAAAGTCTAGGAGGCCCAAAGTTTATAATTTGTTATATGAATCAGGTATGGCAAGAGGCAAAATTTATTTCTTGTGTTCATCATAAATATGCTCACCTCTCTGCCGGTTAACTGTTTCATTGCGGGGCAAGTAGGCCCAGCTCCGACGGATGGGTGTCGAAGTTGGCCAGCGATCCCTTGCATTCATGAGCGGCACTAAGACCTCAGACTGGAGGCGATACAGGCGTGCGGAGATCTCGTCCAGGGTTGCGCGAACGCGGCGCTTGCTCTCTGGTGTTATCGCTCTCTCCATTGCTCTTCACAACAAAATAAGGAATCAATTAATAAGAATAAAGTTGAAAAAGTTTTCGAATGTGTACAAGAGCAAGCGATTGAATGCCATCTGTTTTAAACTATTAATAAAAGGTCACATACACATACAACAACTCAGACGATACTTTAAAAGTTGCAATAATTCTAAAAATAATTAATTCTAAGAGTATATTTACCTTAAGAAATCTCAGCCGTTAACTGTCGTCACCACGTTAATGATTTTCCCAAATAGGGGAAGAGAAAAAAAAATATTGTCAAATAGAAATTAATACGCGCACTCAAACACAGTCACTGCTCACAAATATTGTTATTATTATTGCGATATCAGTAGATAATATTTAAAATAATAAACGAACACTAGAAACCAAACGTACACTCCTCGCTAGTTACTACTTCCGAATGACTTTACTGTCACAGGTACAGACCCTTTTATACTCGTACCTGGAAATATCGAAAAATAGACAATTAGTGGAAGGTGAATGAGTACATGGAGCCATTAGGACAATGACAATAATGGGCGTGTTTAGTAAAGGGCGGACTGGAGGGATTCATAGCTCATTAGCTAATTCAACTAATGACTGTAATTGCATTCAAATGGTGATGCGTAAGTTATAAAAATAAATATGTCTCCATACTCTGGAGTTGTACTGTAAGTACATGGCAATGAGACAACAGAAACAATATTACAAAATATATACTTAATTTTTATTTTAGACTCGGCATATTTAAATAATAAATAATCTTATACTAAATGCTTAGGTGCATGTCTTTACCTAAAGAAAATACCTATTCCTTCAGAGTGGGTGGGGCTGCGTCTGTGTGATGTATCCAGTGTAATTATCTTATTTGCCTTTTTATTAAAACTGCTAAAATATACTTGTGTTAATTCATTGTGTACTCGTACCTACTGTACTGTTGAATGACAATAGTGTATAAATGTGTCACACGTGTTATTTTTATCTTATTTTCAAATGATCAATTTCGAACTAACCATTACTGGGTTATTTCCTGAGTTGTGGTCCTACGGAATAAAGTGTAACTAGCTTTAATCTACTTACGTAAGTTATAAAAATAAATATGTCTCCATACTCTGGAGTTGTGTAGTAATTACATGATAACGAGACAACCGAAACAACATTACAAAATAATTACCTACTTAATTTTTATTTTAGACCCGGCATATTTAAATAATAAATAATCTTTTACTAAATGTAATTATCTTATCCAGTGTAATTATCTTATTTGCCTTTTTATTAAAACTGCTAAAATATACTTGTGTTAATTCATTGTGTACTCGTATCTACTGTACTGTTGAATGACAATAGGCACACGTAATATTTTTATCTTATTTTCAAATAACCAATTTCGAACTAACCATTGCTGGGTTATTTCCTGAGTTGTGGTCCTACGGAATAAAGTGCAACTAACTAGCTTTAATCTACTTACACATCAGTTAATAACGTAGGATGACGAAGAAAAAACAAATGTGTCTTCCTTTACACTAAGGAGATAAAGCGCAGCTTTGCACTATACGATACGCAAAGACGTTGGAGAAAACAATCGCCAATGACGTAAGTCGATGAAAGGAGCAGCCGATTTCTATACAAGAGACATTGTATAGAAAGAATGAAATGAAAAACATAGCCCATTAATGTGTTAATTCCAGGATAAATTGCAATCAATAACAACACCTAGGTTTTTTGCTTTCTTGGCATATGCAATTGATTCATTTTCATAGTAAATATAGGGTGATTCACTCTTTCTTTCTCTAAAACTGCTCTTAGTGGCACTAGAAATTATATTTAGAAATCAAGTAGGAAAATTTTGCAATAAATATTTCATATGCTATAGGACTGTAGATTAACACACTTAAGATTTGCTGAGGACATAGTTTTTATTCGCTTATTCAAATGAATTGAAAAATACATTAGTAGCTATTGAGCTTCTATAATTGCATTGTCCATAAAATCCTTTAGAGTAAATGTACTATTTACTGTAAACGACTAATGTTAGGGCAAGCTAGTAACGTTGTATAAGATTTTTCCAAAGTCTAAAGTATTGACCGTACAATGTCTATTCCCTCGTTCGTATTGAGTTCCCTGTTTGTTTTTCTCTTTCAGTTTCTTAGTAGGTACCAATTAAGAAGTATCTAAAAATACGAGTAATTTTGGTTAGTTATAGTATTTATACATTTTCAATAAAATTAATCAATTACATGTGTATTTTACTTCCAGATCGAAAGACGGACTAGTCGGCAAATGAGGTAATTGTGACTGGAGACGACATAATAGATTCAGCGTATGACATTTCTTTGCGAATCGTCGAGAGATCACGCGAGGAAATTAATACGTCGCCGAGGAATGTATTGAGGCGATACATTGCCGTTTTTAATAAGAGACGATTAAATTTTGATGTACCCAAAGATTCTGATTAAAGTTTACCAGTAAAATGAGGACAATATGTAGGAAGAGCAAAAAGATGTTTATTGATGGGATTCAGAGGCCCCATTGCTAGTTTTATAAGAAACTATTAAATTGCGATAAATGTAAAAAGCAGAGCTTTGCACTATTCGATACACAAAGACGTTGGAGAAAATAATCGTCAATGACGTAAGTCGTTGAATGGAGCAACCGATTTCTATACAAGAGACATTGTATAGACAATACAGTGTCAACAGGTACGGCTGGACCTTAAGAATATACCTACTCATAATTTTATGAGCCATTGTTATTATTATGACACCAACACTGAGTACGTTTCTTGAAAGCTCATAGCTATTTCAATGTATAATAGCGGCTGCCCTTTTTGTTTATTGAAAGGTTATTATTAAGCCATTGTGATAACGAAACTTAAAATGGGCAAATAAAATAACATTATTATGTTATTACACAACGTTGTTGTTTACATTACGAGTTGTTTTTGTTTTACGAGTTGACGACCAATATCTATCTGAAACTTTTATTTTAATAATAGTCATATTCATTTTTAAGTGTAGGTACAAGGCTCGTCTTTAAAGCTGTCTTCACTTTGTAGTTCATGAAACCTTAAAATCAAAGTACCTATGCCCGCTCTCGGCGAGTGGACATTTTTAAAACATTTTACATTTTTACACAAAAATACAAATCTTTCTTCTTTATAAAAGTGTAGATGTAGATTAGTTATTATTAGGTACTTATGTCAACGCCAAAATTTAGGCAGTTGTTTCGTGAAGTGGACAAACATTTTAATTATAAAAATAAAATAAGTTAAAAAAGAATTTGTGGGTAATTTGGTTAAGATCAATACTCTATTCTTTCATTGGTATATTTTATTGCTGATTATTTTCTCAAACTTGTAGTTATTTGCGCATAGGTATAAAGCTACGCCCATAGTCTGCGGTGGGCGTTAGACAATTCTTGATTGGCCCGGCGCACGCGGTCGCCTTTTTGAATATGCTATTATTTCTCTTTGTTCAATAATATTATTTAAATTAAAAAGATTAAATAAAGACCTAATTAAATAAATAAGTAAACAAATACATAAGTAAATAAACAAGTTATTAAATAAGGTAATAAATAAGTAATTAAAATAAAAAAAAACATTTGTTAAATATATTTTCTTTAATGTTTAATTCTACCCTTATGTTTCTATTACAATACTGTGTTCTCTTTGCGATGAGAGACCTTTAAATTATTATTTGACATATTGACATAAAAACACAAATCTTAAATATTACAATTGTCGAGATCTAGCTAGCCAAAAATATTTTCATAGGTGACTTCCTAATTACAGTTCATTTAAATTTTCTTTAAGTATTTTATTTTATATCAGTCTTGTCTAATTATAATAGTAACTCTCGAAATATATACACTCATGTACTTACATACATTTGTAGAGTTTACAAAAATCATTACTCTTACATACAAAATAATACTTTTGGCATTTTTCACAACTACATTGTAATAAAACTAATACAAGTATTACATCAAATGCAAAGTAATACAAGGCCTTTATTCCTACTATCTATTACTAATACAAAAAATGAAGAGATATAAATTACAAAAAAATCATCATATTTGATACAAATTAATACATACAAATAAAAAATAAAAAAATTACAAATACTAATAGACAAATATAAAAAGCAATTCCTTAAACATTAGGTACAATAGTAATCACAAATACGAGAGTTCTTCTTCAATTTTCTCTATACATGATTCGATGTCTTCACAATCAACAATCATGCGTTGTAGCTCATATTGAGTATCAATCAATAGATCCCTATCAAAATATCCTTTTTCGAGAGCCGTCATGCAAAAAGCAGACAGCCTTTCGAAGCACAGCGCTCTGTAGGGAATATGTATGTGACGATCACATATAGATATAGCTCTAACATATTTCCAGGCTAACAACACATATTCAATAACAGACTTCCATTGTTGAGAATCCAACAGGACTTTCCCCTGTTCCACTAAATACTTGTTGAAAGCTTCTAAGTGGCTACGTGCGTAAAAGTAAGCCAGCGAACCGTATTCAAAATTCATTCCCGGTGTTGACAACAATTTCACAATATTCCATCTTAAATGGAAAAACCTTTCCTCGAGCGGCAACAAGTCTGGGGCCGGCATATTTGTTCTGACCTCGTCCTCGATGTCTGGATGTTTGTCCATGACAGATTTAATTATATCAATCAGTTGATTCGGCCTCAAATCTTTCAGGGCAACATCTAAAGGTCCATTATATTTTATTGCTTTCTCCAGTCTTGGTTTTTTATTTGGCGGTGTTGAGTCAATTTGCCAATTTGTGCTAATATCTTGCGATTCACTAGTATCACTGAAGTCTGTCCCCTCTGATGTCCAGTCTGAATCAATAGATTCAGAGCGCACGCGTTTCCGTGGGCTAGATTCTGAAGTGGCTGTTGAAGTGGGCGGAGAAAAGCAGACCGAGTTTGTTGACGGCGGTGGAAGAGGTGAGGTCCACCCAAATATTTCAACGTCGTCGACAGTCGTGGAATTTCTTGTTAATTCATTTTCCGGCGACCTCGAGATATGAAGACATTCACGACCTGAATTCAAAGAATGTTAATTATACAACAATTGCCATATAATACAACAATAGGCATTAACAATAAAACGAGAAACGATAAATTATACTGGAAAATCTAACGCAAATATAAACAATGAATTTATTCTTAATAATATTCGTGTGGGACCAACACAGCAGTAAACCTTTTCAATTTAAAAAGAATAAAACACATTTAAAATAATAAATAGAACGGTATTTTAACTAGCATAGGTTTTGAGATTTTATAAAAAGAAACTTCCCAAAATAACAACAGTTACAACTTAAAAAGTCTAGGAGGTACATAGTTTATAATTTGTTATATGAATCAGGTATGGCAAGAGGCAAAATTTATTTCTTTTGTTCATTACAAATCTGCTCACCTCTCTGCTGGTTAACTGTTTCATTGCGGGGCGAGGAGGCCCGGCTCTGATGGCTGGGCGTGGAAGTTGACCTGCGATCCCTCGCATTCAAGAGCGGCACTAAGACCTCAGAATGGAGGCGATCCAGGCGTGCGGAGATCTCGTCCAGGGTTGCGCGAACGCGGCGCTTGCTCTCTGGTGTTATCGCTCTCTCCATTGCTCTTCACAACAAAATAAGGAATCAATTAATAAGAATAAAGTTGAGAAAGTTTTCGAATGTGTACAAGAGCAAGCGATTGAATGCCATCTGTTTTAAACTATTAATAAAAGATCACATACACATACAACAACTCAGACGATACTTTAAAAGTTGCAATAATTCTAAAAAATATAATTAATATTAAGAGTATATTTACCTTAAGAAATCTCAGCCGTTAACTATCTTCACCGCGTTAATGATTTTCCCAAACGGGGGAAGAGAAAAAAATTATTGTCAAATAGAAATTAATACGCGCACTCAAACACAGTCACTGCTCACAAATATTGTTATTATTATCGCGATATCAGTAGATAATATTTAAAATAATAAACGAACACTAGAAACCAAACGTACACTCCTCGCTAGTTACTACTTCCGAATGACTTTACCGTCACAGGTACAGACCCTTTTATACTCGTACCTGGAAATATCGAAAAATAATATGTAATAATAAACTCTTTATTGCGCACAGTAGAGATGTATACAAGGAGTATTTATACAGAATGTGCATATACAAAAGGCGGCCTTATCGCTAAAAGCAATCTCTTACAGACAACCTGGCATAAAGAATGGATAAGTACAGAGAGAAAGGTAGATGGCGCAAGTCAGATACAGTAAATGCATAAAAGGAATCAAACAAAATGCAAAATATTCTAAATATAAAATAAGATTGCAATACATAAACATACATATATAATATAAATAATAATACATAAACATAAATATACTAAATAGATCAAGATAAATCACACATAGTAAACGTCAAAGCAAATTAGAGAGATAGGTAATGAGATTTTACCTGCCTCTTGAACGAGGCAATAGATTGCGCTGATCTAATAGAAAGAGGTAAGGAGTTCCAGAGGCGGATAGCTTGGATAATGAAAGAATAGGAATGGAATTTAGAAGAATGAATAGGAGTTACTAAACAAAGGGATCTCGCGCTGCGCAATGTACGACCCTGAGAATCGACATGAAACTCAAAGCACATTTTGAGGTAATCGGGGGTTGAAGGATGGAAAAGAATAGTGTAAAGAAGAGATTATTAAAAAAAAAACAATAAAGAGTATCTATCTATGTAGGGGGAAAGCAGTTGTAATAGGGTCCGACAGCCCCATTACTAGCAATATTCTATCAGGTCGACCTCCACGTGGGTTCCCTGGAAAAAATCATGGCTAAGTTTTGTTGGATTCGTCACGACGGGCTCTCTATTATTAATCTTCCCATTATTAACAATTCCTTCCCCACGGGAAAGGGATTGATGGCTAATGAATTTATAGTCCCACATTAATTAACATAAGCATTTATATTAATACACATTGAAGCATTATTTTGTAATAATGACTGTTGCACGTCAGTAATGACAAAATGTGTGAAACCATTGTAATATTACCATACGACCTTATTGTATCACATTTTAGCAATAAAATTCAATGAATCATTCATTCGTACTATTAGTAGGTATGTTGGTGATAACGCACTACTATAACAATAATATTATTTGTACAATGGTGTTGTTTACATTATTTCTTTTTATGCAAATTATTATATATATAAAATAAGCTGCGACCAATATCTGCATCAGTTTTTGTCTACTATTATTTTTACTTTGTGGTTCCACGAATTTGAAAATGAATGCGCCTCCGCCTGGTGTTGGTGAGGGATGGGCAGCCATTCAATGGTAGTTGATAACCGTCGCCAAGAAGTAGACATGAAGAGCACGGTTGTTCCTTGTATTTGTTGAAAATTATGGTGTTATGTCACAAGCATAAATGTGCCTCCATACCATATAATTTCACTGACATAAAACCGAAACAGCAACACCTACTGTTTACCTATTACTTAATATTCTATCTAATAATTTATTATTTAATTATTTAAGAGCCTGCTTAAATTTTGGGTGATCTGCATGAGGATAAAATTGTTACTGCATTTCTACCACCAAAACGAAAGTACCTTCGAATCTGTTATCTGACAATCCGAAGGCAATTTCTTTCCTAGTGGATGCCGCACAGTAATGAAATATGTAGTTTGGAGAGGAATCAAAATTAAAAGCTTCAAAAATGATCAGTTATGGGCAGTTACTATATTTTTAAGGTTCTGTACCAGACAGGTATCATGGAATCTTTATACCTATTATTCATTATCATCAAATTAGCCGTTATTTGTCCACTGTACAACATAGGCCTCCCATAGACTGCTATAAAGAATGGGGCCGCTCCTTATTACATTTTACCGTTTGGGGGATTTTGCCAGTATTTGCCACGGTAGGTAGTTTTTTTTAATGGGTGACGATGGAATGGTAACTCTACCTGCGCTTTTATTACTTACTAGCGGCCCGTCCCGGCTTCGCACAGATGGACATTTTTAAAACATTTCACATTTTTATCTGTACCTACCTAGCTACCTGTTTCATAGATGTGCCTGCCCCCACCTGCCCCTCTTCCGCACCGCTAAAATAGGTATGAATAACATGTACAACGTGACAGCGTTATTTTTTCTATTTCTATGAATCACTAAGTTCGCAATATCTATTGAATGGAATAGCCGATTTGAACAATTCAAAAAGTAATCTACATAAATTGTAACAGTTTTGAAAACAATATGATTTATTTAAATAAGGATTTAAACAAAAGCACTTATGAATAACATGGTGTAATTTTGGTCGGTATTTCTATCAACTTTTAAAATCTAAAAAGTGGTTGTTGTGACATAACGATAATAGTTAAACATATAGTATCGCGAAGTTTTTTGTAGTTATTGATGTTTTCTTCAATATTGTAAAACATACTTTTGTTCTATCACCAATAGTTTCCGCAGCGCACGTGACGATATATATTTTATAGCATTTTTTACACCTTGAGTTAGGTTACTAAAGTTTTAGTAAGGATCCCTAATCTTTTCTAGCAATAAATATAGCCTATGTTACTCAGGGTGAATGTAGCTTTCTAAAGAATTTTTGAAATCGGTGAAGAAGTTTTTGAGTTTATTTATTACAAATATACACACAAAAATACAACTCTTTCCTCTTTATAATATTAGTGTAGATGTAGATTAATTATTATTAGGTACTTATGTCACACCAAGGTTTAGGCAGTTGTTTCGTAAAGTGGACAAACATTTTAGTTATAAAAATAAAATAAGTAGGTTGTTTAAGATCAATACTGTATCCTTCTCCTATCATTAGTATATTAGTATATTGATGATTATTTTCTCAAACTAGTAGTTATTTGCGCATAGTATAAAGCTACGCCCATATTCTACGGTGGGCGTTAGACAATTCTTTATTGACCCGGCCCACGCGGCCGCCATCTTGTATTTGCCATTATTTCTCTTTCTCTCTCTAAAATGTTATTTTATACTTTATCCTCTCGATAAGTTTACTTATATAGAGCAACAAAATATGCATTTCAGTGGTATATGAACTGCATTAATAGATAGGTATAAGATGGTATTTATTTATAGGTGTTTTAATTATGTATTTATTAATAATGTGTCTTATTTTTTCGAAAAGCGCAGTTTTAGAATTTATTTGATCCTAGTGATCCGGCATGGTTTCGATGGATGAATAAAAATTTCGAAAATAATATATAGCTCACATATTCACTGATTTTTCAGAGAGAAAGAGAGAGAAAGTGATATAGACTTTTTCACTTAGTTCGCTAATGACTCTAACATCTAGAAACCATAACTATCCATCTTTTTCCAATTCGGTAGTGAACTGTATCCACCACCAGTACCACTACACCAGTGAGGGATGATAAGTGAGGATGAAAAAGCATGTCAGTTAGCCAATCGTGGCAAATTCCACTAAAATTAATCACTATAGTTTCCGGGGGGAATCATGTGGAGGTCAGCAATGGACAGTTTAAGACTGATATAATGATGACGCACCTAAGCATTAAGTATAAGATTGTTTATTACTTAGATTATGACAAGTGTAAAATATAAATTGAGTAGGTAAAAATATGTAATGCAGTTTCGGTTAAAAAAGTCGACAAGCATAAATATGTCTCTACCTACAAAGAGCAGATGTAGTGTAGAGGCATATTTATACTTGTCTATATACACTATAGTTTGCAGACAAGGCGCTGGACATAACATATATATGTACCTACATAGACAAATTGGGTACTATGGGTGTCCTCTATTTTATGGATGATTATGGAATGTGATCCCGCCTGCACAATCGGTATATGTTGGCGGGGCACCAGTGATAGGTTGAGATAGTTGTTTTTAGATAGATATTGATCGTCAACTCGTAAATAACACCGTTGTACGTAATAATATTATTTTATCCCTTTGCCCATTTTACTATTCATGCGTTAACACCAAGATAGAAAGTAATATGTCTCTATACCTAATTGCATTAGCCAACAATCCTTTTAGACTATCTCCACGCCTTTTAGAGAGATAACTATGGGTTTCGTTAACACAATGGCTTAATATTTATCTTTCAATATTTCTAAAAGGGCAGCCGCTATTATACATTGAAATAGCTGTGAAAACGAATTTATTTGACAATACTAACTTTCAAGAAACGTACTCAATGTTTGTGTAATAATAATAAAAACAGCTAATAAAAATTGTAAGTGTATTCTTAAGATCCAGCCGTACCTGTAGGCAAAGGTAATTTTTGTTATAAATAGCTACAATACATAATATTGTATAAGGGGTGTAAAGGACGACACAATAGATTTTCTTCCGCTGTTTATTACACTCACAATATACATACAATAGACACCGTATTGTCTATACAATGTCTCTTGTATAGAAATCGGCTGCTCCTTTCATCAACTTACGTCATTGGCGATTGTTTTCTCGTTAGGTTAGGTAGGTCTCGCTAGGTTTGTTCTGATTGTCGGGATATTAAACGTAACGATATGTTGTAATACATCTATTTGAGTATTAAATTATACATAAATATAGTTGAATTTGTTGATATGTGTAGAATTGAAAAAAATATATTTTTAATATAAGCTTACCCGGTGCCCTGTGTAGATTGATGCCACACGTACCCATTCTATTCCAGATTTATGGCAGTAACAGCGAACGAATTGCACATAAATCCATAATCATATGTATTTGCATATATAGCTAATTTTGTTAGAAAACAGTTTTGCAATTTATTTATTCCTAATAATTCGGCTCGACTTCGGCCGGGTAAATAGAATTTTTGAAAATAATACAGGTACCTAACAATATTATCCTCATGCAGATCACTTAAAAATTGAGCAGGCTCTTAAGTAATAAAATAATAAACTATTAGATAGAGTATTATACTTTATTGCGCTATAACATAATTATATTTTATATGTTACAAATATTTACATTTATCACATCATCAAATATATCTACAAATTATAA